TTAAATGGACTAAAATGAGTGTAATTCAGAAAGAAAAAAAATCTAAAAAGTTTATTTGCACTCAACACACAACCACTGATCACAAATTTCAACACATTAATCTCTAGGATCAGAAAAAACAACAAGCAGAAACCACAAAAAAAAACTGACACTGAAATGTGATGCAACTAAAGTCAAGCCTTGAGATGGGATTATTTTCTAAAACACTTTTGTGGCATCATTTTTAATTTTTTTTTTTTTTAACTATTATTTAATCTTAAATAAAAGAGAAAATAAGAAGATCTTAACTTCTTGCTTTAATTTTTGCCACATGAGACTGTGGCAGGTTTAGTTCATGGAAACACTTAATTCGTAAGACATGTTTTTTTCGAATAAATGCACTTTTCCCCCCAAAGTTTTGGAATTATATTGTTAAATAATTGTGATCTCAATACCAACCAAAAAAAATGTGGGAAAAACTTGATTTTCAGAATTGTCGTACACTCGCTGGCCACTTTGTTACACCTGCACAACTGTTCAATTGCTTGTTAACAAAAACGTCAAATCAGCCAATCACATGGCAGCAACTCAATGCATTTAGGCATGTACACATTTTCAATTCAACCTAAAGTTCCAACTGAGCATCATAATGACGAAGAAAGGTGATCTGGGTTTGTGGCATGGTTGTTGGTATTTCAGAAAGCGCTGATCTGCTGGGATTTTCCCATACAACCATCTCTAGGGTTTGCAGTGAATGGTCTGAAAAAGAAAATATCCAGTGAGCGGCAGTTCTTTGGTTGAAGATGCCTTGTTGGTGTCAGAGGTCAGAAGACAATGAGCAGAATGCTTCTAGCTTGATAGGAAGGTAAAAGTAACTCAAACAACCACTCGTTACAACCAGACTGGGTGGCACTCCTGTCAGCTAAGAACAGAAAACTGAGGCTACAAACTCACCAAACCTGAAGATTCAAAGATTGGAAAAAGCTTGCCTGGTCTGTTGAGTCTCAATTTCTGCTACAACATTTGGATGGCATAAACAATATGAAAGCATGGTTCCTGCCTGCCTTGTATCAATGAATACCAAGTGAACATCGTTTAATTTTCACAGCCTAACGGGAATATTTGGTCATCCCACTATAACCATAGTGTACCCATCTTCTGATGCCTGCTTCCAACAGGATAACACACCATGTCACAAATCATCTCAAACTGTTTTTTTCCCCTGATTTCTTCAGCAGACAAATCAGCAGCAACTGTACAATCCCATCATGTCAATATGGACTCAGATCTCTCAGGACTGTTTTCAGCATCCTGCTGGATCTATGCCATGAAGCACTGAGGCAATTCTGAAGGCACAAAGGGGGTCTGTGAAAGAGCCTGAAATGCCAACCTTATTTTTTCCTCATGTTGTTGCTGTGCAGGTCAAAGCAATCATTTCTTTTACTGATTTAAAAAAGATACACAACAGACACGCACACTGTCACAATCTTATATGTGCCTATCTGTCAATGTGACATCATGCATTCAGACTTGCGCTGTAACAAAAGAGATAAGTAAATGTCAGACAGCTGCTGTAACGCTTCACATGCGGTCAGATATTGTTGATTAAAGGAAAAGGGTGCAGTGTGTTATGTAAGATAATGTTGAAGGGTGGATGCAAGAACTGCCCATTCAGGGTGATTCAGGTGAATTCACACTGTTCATCTGTGACCCAGCAGGTGGCGCTGTGCTCTCAGCAGAATCTGAGTAAAAGGAGGTCAACTCTAAAGGGTAGAGCTAGCTCGCTACATGTTTCCTGATGGTCTCTGGACACACACACACACACACACACACACACAGCATGTCTCTGTATGAATTTTCATTTTTCATCTCCCTCTGTTTTTTATCAGTGTTGCTTTCTCTTCACAGATTCAGTTTCATCTCTTTCCTTCATGCTTTGACATCACAGATCGCCCACCAACAGGAAGATTACCTCAAAATTCACCTTATTTCTACACCCACTCTTCTAAACATCTTCTCCAGTTTTCTCTTTTAGCTTTTATGCCACATCTCAGTCTCTATTATCTATCTTCCTCACATCCCCTCAGCCTCCTTTTTTATTTTCCTCCTATACACACATTCATCACTTACATTTTACCCAACATCTCACTTGACCTCTCTTGCCTACAGTATCTTCACTGCATGTCATCAGTAATACAACTCTCCCTCTTCATCTGCAGTAATAAAAAAAACCCCACACGCACACATTTCCTACCACTAATGAGGTCCTTTAACCCCTTTCATCAATTCTTGGCGGTCTAAATGTCTTTGATCCACATCTATACATCAGCTCTGATCTGTGCTCAGAGTTCTTCGACTGAGTAACTTCTAATTTACAGCATACTTAAGGACTCAGAGAGATGTATGCTTTAAAGGAGGCAATAATTTATATTTCTCTTTTTGTTTTATCACCATGCTTGAATTCTCAACTTTATTCAGTGTATAGAGAGTTCAGCTGAATGCCTCATGTTATGAGACTTCAATTGGATAAAGTTGCAGTTTGTCAGAGTTGAATCTGGTGGTGAATCACCGTCTGAAGTTCTTTAGTTTCACATTGGAGAACAGAAAAGCTGCAGCAGTGTGATGATAATCCTTGACACTCACCATACAATATAATTTATAGATTAGAAATGATTACAAGTTGTATTTTATTACAGGAATGATTCACTGTAGGACTAAAATTGCTTTTGGGTTAATTTGCTCATGTCAGGTTTAAAGGACTTCCTCCAGTGGAGTTAATTCCCATAGACTCGTGTGTACCCCCCACCCATGGGGGTGGGGGGTACACACGAGTCTATGGGAAAAAAGGTTAAGCTCACTGATCTTAACCTTTTGACTGTTTGTGGTGTTGGAGCCTTTTGGAACATTTTTCATACAATTAATAGTGTCTGAGAAATAATATGGTCTACTTAGCTTGTCTCTTACTTAGCACTAAGTAGCTGTGTTTTGAGTGCTCAATTTAAGCAGAATACCTAAATATATACCAGTCTCTTTAACATTTAAAGGTGCAAATATGGTCACTTTTGACTCCAAAACCACTGAAAACACCACTTGATTGAGTCAAGGTGAACAGGTCTAGATCTGATTTGCCGTGGATGATATCGTGTCAAAGTTCAGCTGGTGAATTAAAACAGCCAATGTTAGCATGGAAGACCAGGATCTGAGACACGGCCTGGAGCTTTTCATGAATAGATTTCACATTGATTGGACTGGCTAAGTGCATATGTAGGTCCACATGGGTGGCACTTCAAGACCCAGATGATGTACTCTTTATGTTCATAAAATATAGTGTGAAACATCCATTTCTCGCCCTCAAATGTCACCATCATATCAAAGTAGCAGAAAGTGAGGGGCTATCAAAGAGCCTTTAACAGTAGAATAAGTCACCACTGCCAAAGCTAACTACTTAGCTAACAGTGGCATTTTTATTTTGCAAGCTTTAAGGTAACAAGTGAAGCACTTTTCAGTGTTCATGTGTGTTAGATTGGCATTGTAGGTCTGTACAACAGGTTTCTCTTAGAAGACAAACATATAAGAAAAAGAGTTGGTCTTAAGTCTATTTTCATGACAGTTACACTGAAGAAAATTGGTCAGTAGGCAAGCTGTTAAGAGTTAACTTTCAAACAGAAAGTTCATGATTAAAAAAAACCCTATTTATTTCTTTTTTGTACAATAATCTTTCATGCCTACTAAATTGATGGAATTTAATATAATTTAGCACTCTGCATGTTTTCATTCTGTTTTCTGTGACGTGGCCCTTTAAGGCTTTATCTACATCAGTATGACCCTGCTTTACAATATCAGGGGCACTAGCAACACACAGGCCATGCTGAGTATATGTAAAGGATTCAATATATTTGGGATTTACAGTTCGGAAGTGATTTTTTGGATGTTTGAAATAGTACATTTGATGGAGTTGACATGGCATGATTTTTTTGTAAAAGTTTGATTGTGTAGTTGGACTTACTTACTACTCCAGGTAGGATATTGGTGACACTGGAGATATACAGAAGGTTTCTATTTTTGGACTGAACAGCTCATGTACAGTGATGTTTAGATGAAGAGAGCAGACTTTACATTTACTGTCTGTGTGAAGAAGACGTGCTGACGGTGCAGGCAGCACAGATCCATTGTTATATGACAGTTTCATTAATTTAGAATCAGCTGTCTCATACTTCCAAGACAGGTCTGGGCGTTGTTCCTTAATTAAATTGATTCCATATACAGATGTGAGAGTGTGAGAGTGTGGATAAAGGCACATTACAGCTTCTACACGTGTAATCCGGAGCGCTATACTGCGCTGGCGTTTGTGTTTCTATTTTGCCAGCCTTTGATTCATGGATTATCATTTCTTTTTGCGATCTGTTTGTGTTTTGGAGACTGAATACATTATTTCCAGATGACTGCAGCACAGGTAAATATTGCAGGTGCACTCATTGCTTGAAGCTTGCAGTAAATCTCTCATGGTGCCGCCGCTTACGGTTAGGCAGTTTCGTTACGCACTGTTGTGCTCAGCGCAGTGATTTAAAATTTATGACACGCACAATGTGATTGGCTGGGAAGAAAATAACTCGTTGTCTTGCACTTTATACTCCATTCCACCTGGCCAAAAAAGAATAAAGGAAGTCTATGCTTTAAGTGTCTCATTATGAAGTAGTGACTGCACTGCATGAACAAACAGGAAACACACATTTTTTTAAAAGACTTCCCAAATGTGAAAAAAAGAGCATTTGTCTAAAAAACAAAGTTAAATCTGTAGAAGAGATCTGACTGTTGCCTCTACTGTTATTTCCCCCAGAGACACCCAGTCTGTTTATTAGGATATAGTGGGGTATACTTTAATGCTCGCACTTGACCCTGGTAACGCAGAATGACATCATCTACAATGAATAGGCTGACCTGCACTCAGAATCTGTTAAATGTGACTCGTCTGCAGCTGTACAGCTGTTTAAAGGCATATAGTTTTTAAAATGTGTACATACAGTATCTGAAGGGCGGAGATCTTGTCTTTGAGCAGTTCCTGGGCTTTGTTGAAATCTGACAGCATGTTCTGCGTCTCCCTGCTGTGGACGGCGCTCAGCTCGGCTAGCTCCCGCTCGTGTCTCTTTGTCAGCTCCTGCTCATGAGCCCTGAGGAACGAGAAGAAGAGTCAGCCGACAATTTGAAATAGCATTTAAGATTTTTTTGCATGCAGTGTCCAACTCACTAAAATACTGCCATCACACCAAATGTGAGATGACGTTTTCACACTGCCCTGAGTCTATGCAATGAGACAAACTGACACAAATTTGCACAGGGCAATGTGAACGGAGCCAAATCTGCATTTGTACTATTTAAAATATAAAACCCATCAGCCGGGATTCTCCTGAAGCTACAGACAATCAGAAATGAAGGACAATCTTGCTGATGCCATTAAGGAGCAGCTGGAGCCGCTTCAGCTTTGCAGGACTTTCTGGCAACTTCTGAAATTATTTTACCTTAACTTAATTCCCACTATCAGTTGTGTTCCTTGGATTGGATTTTAATAGAGAGTATTTTCTAGTGTATAAAAAAATTGCCAGTAGTAGAAACAGCAAACAGTGAATCAACAGTCGACCTTTGAATCATATGAGCCAACCATGTTGGCTCTTATGATCCTGTGGCCACAGCAGAGGTTCAAGACAAGTTTAGCTGTTTGCTGGCAGACATAGGATGTAGATAAGTGCACTTGTGGTTTTCTTGTCTCTCAGTATTGATAACTTGGGTTTGCACTGGCTATGTTTAGTGTCCAGGTGGGATGTGCTAGAGATGCTGTGGCTCGAGAGTGCTAACCACTGGCCCACCATCACCATAGACATGAAATAACTATCACCTAAATAGGAGGAATAGGAGGACTCTGCCAATGCTGACTGGGTGGCAGGTGTTAAACTCATACACAGTTCTGGTTTCTGGTCTACAGGGAGACAGCACACTGAGGAAGTAACTGTCTCTTCCTGTTTTTGTAGGTTTTTTTGGCATATTTGTCACACTTACATGTCTCAGATCATCAAACAAGTCTTAATATTAGACAAAGATAACCCGAACAAACAGACATTTTCTTTGATGATCTGAAGCATGAAAGCGTGCCAAGAAGAGTAGAGCGCAGATACTTTTTTAAATGGTATTATAGATGCTTAGTCTCACCAACGGTGATGAAAAACACAGAATTACTTGCAATATTTTAGCTCCGTCTAACGTGATTCAGCTTTTTGACTCAAACCCAACCCAAATATCAGATCGGTGCGCCCCTACAGCACCTCAGAGCTGTTGCCAATTAAAAGAATCATGATAATGACCGAAAAAACAATTGCATTATATCGCACTGTTCACTTTTAATTAACAAAAATATTAAGTATATCCCATGTGTCACATCACATCATGTTTCACTTTGCTTGATCACAATTTAAGCTCTGGGATAAAGTGCTGTTTGCTGTAACTCAGAGGTAATAGATTTATTTTTACTCTTTAATATGTGAGGTTGCACTTTAAGACTTAATCAGGTCCTGCAGACTCTCTCTCTCGCTTTGTATTTTTCTCCCAGGACGGGCAAAACATAATGGATTGCGCCACGGAAATGTTAATGAGATAAGAAAATCCAGAGACGGATGCACGGAATGAATTCCTAGAACACAATTTCATGACAAACACATAATTAATTTAAAATCATAATGAAACTGACATGTATGAATATTTAATAAAAATACTGCAAAACATGTGCACAGCAATATTTGAAGACCTGGACAAGGGGCAGGATGATAAAAGACGATAATGAAATGAGGGGAATAAAAAAAACCAAAACAAAACGAGTTGATGAAAGCGAGGAGGACGATGGAGGGAGAAACATGGATGCCCGTCTGCCTCTCATTCTGACTGGGCCAACTCTCCCTGAGGGGCGCACGTCTTATCTCCCGCTCTCTGCTTCCTCTTTATTTATTTATCAGTCTATTTTTATCCCCGTGACCAGGATTCAGACGGGGCGTTACGTAACAGGAGAAGAAATGTGCTGCGCATGGGTCTGACAGCAGAGAGCGATGACGTGCATATATAAAGGCAAGCGGTACACAAATTAACAGATAATAATAATGCACCACGGGCGCATTTAAAAATACAGTGTGATGGATGCTAATGAGTAGCCGGACCACATTACTCATATAGCACTTTAAAAATTCATGCCATGCCGCAGGGACAACACAATTATAGCCCACATTTTGCATTACCCAAAATAATCTTCATGTCTTCTAATCAATGGGCTCCTGACACTGGTCGAGAGACAGAGGCAGACTAAAGAGACGGATTTGCTTCTTTCGGGCTTTTCTTTCCTCCCTTTTATCTTTTGGTGTATTTTCATCACTCAGGCTCGGACAGAGAGGGATTGCAGAAACTATCGTCATCCAAATGTAATAAGAGAATTCAAATTCAGACACATGTGCCGATGACAGGCCCACTGCGGGCGTTTTTGTGTGTTCTAGGCGACAGCGAGTACACGCAAAAGCTATCCTGAAATGTCACAGACAGTGTGGTGCTAATGTTTTTAAAGGAATAGAGTGACATTTTCGGGAAGGCAGCTTTTCTTTTTTTTTGCTTTAAATGCCACGTTCAGCATCATCTCAGATGGTTTTTTTTGCATGGATTAAAGAAATAAGATGTGACGTCTGTAGTTTTTTCCCCAAGAAACAAACTGTTTAATGTTGCTGTTTACTGCTCTGAGCTAAAAGTCTAGATCAGCATTTTAGGAAATATGCTTATTTACTTCTTTAATGTGAATATTAGGATATTCTATTTCTTACTTATGAAGTTGAAAATTGCAGTTAGTTCAGATTAGCATGAAGAAAGCAACATCTAGCTTGGCTTTTCCCAAACTTCAAAAACACAAAAACTGGTATTGCCCTCAAATAAAGCAGATTTAACCAAAAGATGTATGCATTACGAAATGTGCAGAATGTGCAAACACATCATAACAGAAAACATTAACAGGCAGGATGGCGGTTCAGGTCTACCCTGGACATTTCTCTGTCCAGCATGTTCTCCCTGTACTTGCAGGGTTTCCTGTGTGCTCTAACTTTCTGTCACAGAGCAAAACCAAACATGTTAGGTCAGGATCCAGCCACACATGCCTAGAGAGCAGGGCTGCCACAAACGATTATTTTGATAGTCGACTAGTCACCGATTATTTTTGCGATTAGTCGACTAATCAGATCATGCATCCATTGGACGTAAAACGTACAGCTTATTGCACCAGCATGCATCTGCTCTTATATAACTATCATTAGCTTACAGCTTTAAGTGTTTAAGGTATGTGCTAACTAAAAAATAAAGACAAGATGACACATAAATTTAAAGGAAATGAAAGATTGTTTCGGTGGAGTTTAATAAACTCAGCCGTCTGCTACTTGCTATCTAAAATATAACAGGACACCGGAGTATATTCTC